TGGCGGAGGGCCCCTTTGGCGTCCTGGATCCGCGCCTCGAGCTCGCCTTGGAGGCCTTCCAGCTCCTTCTGCAGGTTCGTGTTCGCCGCGGTGAGGGTTTGGATTTGGGTGTCGTACTTGGCCAGCTCCGCGCTGCAGCTCCCGCGGTGGGCGAGCTTCTTCAACGCCGAGGCGAGCTCCTTCACGTTGGTGATCGTCGACGGGGCCCCCGCGTCGTCCTCCTTGGCCCCACGGTTCGCCGCGTAGAGGAGGTATTTGTTGCAGATCTGGAAGATCTCCTCGCGCTGCGATTGCTCCCCTTTGAGGTTCGTCTCCGCGATGATCAGCTCATTACGGAGCTGCGCGAGCTGCTCCTCGAGCTGGGCGAGCTTCGCTTCGTATTCCTGCCGCTCCGCCACGAGCTTGTTCTGCGCGTTTCGGAAGTCGATATCATCCGCCTCTCGCCCTTCCTTGACGTTCTTCAGCTCCACATTGAGCTCCCCGATGCGCTCCTGCAGCCGCTCCACCTCCTTCTCCAGCCCAATGGTGCCCTGCGCCTCGTACTTCTTCAGCCGTTCCCGCATCTCGTTCACGATCTGTGAGAGCTCCGCGATCTTTTGATCCTTCGTATCCATATTCACCACCGGCTTGTTCTTGATCTGCTTCGCGCGGTCGGCGAAGCGGAGGGTGGAGACGGTCTCGGAGAGGTTCCGCTCGCTCGGGTTGATGTTCGCGAACATCACCGTCTTGCTGTTGCCGCCGAGCGAATCCTTCAGCAGCATCGTCAGGGGGCTGCTCCGAAAGGGGATGTGGTTGCCACCCTTCACGATCGTATCGATGACGGTGCCCAGCGCACTCAACGAGAGGTTGATGTTGCAGCCTTCCTTGAGGGTGTCGCCCGTGGCGCCGGTTTTCCCCTGCCGCTCCGACCCCGCGAGGTCGACGAGATTCAGCTTGCTCGTTACGGACGTCGTTATGCCATCCTCCAGCGTTTCGGTGCAGACGAGGATGAGGGTGAAGATCGAGTGCGAGCGGGAGCTGTCGGCGTTCAGCTCCGTCGAGCCGGTGCGGCGGCGCTCGGTGCCCTCGTCCATCAGCCGGATGACGTCCTCGGGGAACTTCACCTGCGGGATGTTCACCCCTTGCACGAAAAATGTGTGGTCTTTGCTCTCCCGAACATCCAGCGTGAGTTGCTGCTTCGCCAGGAGATCGCGCACCTTGCCATTGTAGATTTCCACAAAGGAAACGTACATGCTAAACGCCTTAGTATTTACATTCACCTGTGAGTTTTTAATGCTTGCAAAGATATGCTTTACGGAGCGTGGGATGATGCCCTCGAGATCCTCCTTGTCAAGCACACCCGTCATGGTGTGGGTTTTGCCGGATCCGGATTGCCCATAGGCGAACACCGTCGCGTTGAATCCATCTAATACTGAATCTACCAGAGGCATGATGAATTGCGTGAAGATATCTTTCTGACCGAAGGTGTTGTTAATAACAGCATCGAAAGTCCAGCGATCAGGTTCACCACATACGCTTCTAACGGCGACTGTGTGCGCGGTAAGGTCGATATCAACACAGCTTTTATGCCCATTATCCTTCTCCTTCTCGTTCAAAGGGCGGCAACGCACCAGAACCTTGATGTTCTCTGCTGCCGCCTCGGCACTTTTTTTCCCCATGCGTGAACACCTACTTTCCCTTTATACCAACTAATAATAATACCAGAGACTATTTGTACGTAGATAAATATATCTATATATATATATGTTCTGTTTACCCCCCCCCCCCCTCCAAGGCTGACTAAATGAAGTATGTGAGCGTGGTCGTCCCACTTCGACCCATCCTTTTATGGAGATTGGTAAAAGAGTTGAAAAATTGGAAGAAAAGAACAAAATTACATCCTGCATATCAAGGATCGAATCCCTTCTTTTCCGTGTTCATTATATTGTAATTGCAGTAGGAAAACCCCAAACGTCTGACGAGGGAATTTCCTTTTGATATGTTTTTTTTTGTGTGATAATAGGGAACAACCCGCCACTATCTTTAGTCCTTACCGATTCCCTGACGAGGACCTGCGCAAGCTTATCATTTATTACCACTCATCTCCGAAGGCGTGGAGGAGGAGTTTGGCACTTTTTCATCTCCACCCAAACGTTTGACGGCCGCCAGGATATCCGCCGAGACGACTGGCTCCACCGTGATTATCTGTGGGCTTTGTTTCGCTGACAGCCTTAGCGTGGTGCGGTTCAGCTTTTTGATCGCGCAAGCCGCGAGCTGGGCGGATGCGAAGGTAACCTCAAACGCCCTCCGCAGCGCAGGGACCTCACCCCCAGGCGATACGGTATCGTTCGATTTGACAGTGGAGGGTGCGCGCGGCTGCTGGGAGCGGTATCGCGTCGCCTCCTTGGTCTTTCTAGGCGCGCTGGAACCATCCACGGCCTCCGTGGGTTCCTTCGCAGGATTCGCCTCGACCCTCGCAGTCGAGGGCGGGGCCACGGGAGTGGCAAGACGCCTGACGATGCAGGAGATCACGCCCCTTGCATCGCCCACCGCGATCGCGCATAATTCCCGCACCTCAGCCGCCCCCACGTTGGGGGGGATGTCGTACACCAACACGCGTTGACTTGCGATGCGAAGAAGTCCGGAGGGATCTCTAAACGGCAGAACTCCGGCGCTGCGCAGGATGGAAGCGAGCTCCGCGTTTACAAGATTCGCCTCGGCTTCACTTCCCACCACATTGGAATCCGAGGGGTGCCGCGTCTGGACGATCCTCGAGTGATATTGACTATTAATGGTGTGCAGGTTCTGAATCGCGGCATTCTCGACGTGTTGCAGGCTGATCTCAGCTTGGATTTCCTGCAATCGTAGCTCGAAGTTCTCCATGCGAGATTTAATGCTCTGCAACGGCGATTCGCCATCGGAAACATGCGCTTCAAGATGTTTCGCTGGTGCTTGCCACGAAGGTTCACACGGCTCCACGGGGGAAGGCCCGTCACTCGACGCGGGGGGGCCGCAGGAGGGGCGAGGATGTGAAGCTTGCCACGCAGAAAATGCATCGTCAACCATTTTCTGCAATTTATTCATGATCTCTTCCTCCGACATGGCCGTAGCTTTCGGAGTTATACTCGCCGTGGTTAGATCACTCCGCACCGCACCCATCGCGGCGTCTTTGGGAGCCGTGGAGGGGGGTGCGGTTCGGGAAGTCGCCTCTTCGACCTGCGATTGGACCCGCAAGACGACCCGCTCCGTCTGCTTAACCAGGAAATCGATATTCTGCTGTTTTAGCACCACATCGCCTAATACCCGCTGCACCTCCACCATTTCCCCACGCATCTGATTCGACGCCGCCTCGAGGTCCGCGAGGTGGGATTCGATCATGCCTTGCCGCTGTTGAAGCCGCCTGGTGATCTCTTCTCCCTCTGCGAGCTGTCGATCCACCACCGCGAGCCTTTCCATTATTTTTCGTATCGCTGGCTCCTTGGCATCGCGATCGGCAGAATCGTTGCTATTCGGGGTTCTGGGGCTGTTACTACTTCCGCAATCGGGCGTCGTCGTCGCCGTATCACCGCCTCCCCCAACAGCTGGGGACGAAACCGGAGCCTTGAATGGGGTGCGTAGAGTACGCGTGAACGACACACCAGCCGCCTTGAAAAGAAGCCTATGCTTTACCAACATACCTATTTAAAAGGTAAAAGCGAAGAAGAATCGACGAAAAACATTCAATGGGGTAATCTAACAACAATAAGGATAATTCATAAACTAGAAGGAAAAGTCTAAGTACCTTTTTCACACCAGAGGGAGGTTCTGAGGTGAAAGAAGCACAGACGGGTGTGACCATACTTTTATTTTTTGTTATGTTAGTACACAGGAAGGAGACTAGAAAAACAACACAGCCACATCCCCTCATTTAAACGAGCCAAGTGTGTTTTATCTTATCCATTTCTGGCCTTAAAGCAGAATATTTACGTTATCCATGGCTGTTGGATACACTTCATCTTTTTCTACGTGTGGGGTCCATAAAAGAAATACGCAGTGTACTTTAATCTTGTTGTTATTGTTTAATCAATGTGTGCGGAGGTTGAACAAGAACGCCATTAAAAACACACACACACACACAAAGGCACCAATTTTATGAATATACCGGCACGAGGCATCACTAGTCCTTTTTTCCTCCTCCTTGGACTGGAGTCGTGAAGGAAGCGTTGCCCTTTTCAATGCGTTCTAGTTTACCATCAAAGAAACGATGTCTTCCCGCGCGCCCGAGGCGCACACCACCACACCGTTTAAACAGCTCTGAATCTGACATCGCAGTAATCGGGACGTTGTTCTTTGCTCCGTCATCATCGCTTTCTTTGCTGCTATCACTATCACTGGGCGATTTCTCCGAGTCCGAAGAGCTACCACGCCGTCTTTTTTTCTGATTCTCGTTGTGATAGCCGTTTGGTTGTTCCCGGTTTTTATTCATCGTGCGAGCATTCGTGGGGTGCGCATCTTCACTGCTGGAGGTGGATGCACTTCTGTTCGCTTGATCGGAATTCGTTCGAGGTTTGCGTTTGGAGATGTGATCGTAGATGGCATCCAGCTCGACCGATTGAGTTGTGAGGACGTGGACACCACCTCCAACAGTTGGATCCGCTGCGTGACCAAGCCCCGTCGAGGTGTGTGGATCACGGCGGACGACCTTAACGTAGCTCTTAATTCCATCACGTTCCTTCCCCAGACCTTGGCCTTCCTTCCAGCCGTATTTTTCCATCATTTTACGTGCAGCAGACGACATCGTTACCTTTTTTTGTTCTTTTAGCTGCTTCTTCTACTGTTTCTAGTCATTCAAAGTCCTAACCACGAGATTTCAGCGACATGGGTGAACCACCGAACCAAGTGCAAAAAGTGAAAAAGAGGAGAAAACGGAGTCCGCATATTTTCACAAAAAATAGACATAGTAGCCACATCAAACCCCCTTCCCCCCTGCGGGAAGCCGCGCGTCAGAAAGGAGGCTCTAAATATGTAAGCGGTACATACGAATTCCTATGAGATAGGTTATGAAAATCTCAGTATGTGACACTCACATGATATGGAAAAAGACATATAATATATATATATAAATAAGCCTAAAATACAAAGGTCAATGAGGCTAAAAAAACCCATAGAAGGGTAAAAAGATAAATAAACAAAATCTTTACCTTAGTAATAATAACGAAACCAAAAAAATGAAATGCTATATCACTTTTAGGGTAAGCCTATCTCCAGAGTTCATCCCTTTTCTCCACACACCAAAAGTAAAAGGGGAAGTCTATGTACACGAAAAGCAGACACTGTCCACGCGGCCCTATGAAAATCTGGTGGGCTTATATGCGTGTACATATATCTTTATATAATACAGGATTTATTCGTTTCCGATTGAGCTGAATGAAAGGAAGGCGGTTTGGACGAAGGTTTAAATTTTCCGACACGCATGAAATGTGTATATAAAACGCAATATTGATGATATCAATATGATGTCGTATAACATCCGTCTATTCTTGCTTACAAGCCCATATGCGAAAAAGAAAAGGCTAAACATAGTACATCGCTTTTTTTTGACAAAAAAAATCCGCTTCTTATGATATTAAACTACTGGGAACAACACATACACTTACACATGTGGCTCTACTCCATTTGCAATAACAAAAAGGGTAAATTACGAATAAAAATGACAACAGCAATAAAGATTGAACCGTTACAATGAAAGAGTAAGTATAATTACACTTTAATTGCTTCTGGCCATAAAAATAAATCAATAATAGTCATACTAGCTAGATACTTTAAAAAGAAGAAGAGAACTGCGACAATGGGTAAACACATGTGACTCATGATCGCAAAAGAGACGGCACAACATCTCAAGAAAATGCATTTACGAGGGAGAGAGATTACCTTACCATGCTGTCGGGTTTTCTCTTTTTACTACCTATTTCAATCTTTGTTAAAATTCCTCAAACATTTGCAAATCCTTGATTTACTGTTTACCCCCCAAGTGTTTCCCTCTATTTGGTCTTACTTTCAGTCTTTTCGCTATTTGAAGTAACTATGTATAGAACATTATATCATGCAAAATAGCTGCGCAGCTTGCCTCGAAGCATCACAAGTATGAGCCATAGCTAAAACAAAAAAGTTTTGGATAAGTAGGAGAAAAATAACTATCAAAAAAAGTCAACTAGGACTTTTTCACAGTTCATTTTTTAAAAATACTTAGTATTTTTTCCCTTTTCCCATCTTAAATCCTTCGTATTCTTACAGGTAAAAAAAGAAAAGAATGTCCACCATTCCGAGTTGCAAAAAAAAAAAATGCTAGGCATCTATGAGCTAAAGGGGAAAAAAAAGGTTAGATAGCACACCTATGCGATGCGGCTTCGTCATTCTGCACTTCCACACCCACTCTTTCTCTATAAACTGACCAAAGAAAGGCTTCCCCAGGGCGCGTCTTTGTTTGTGGGGGTAAGACCCCACCCTCATTCACACTTCACCCCGGCGACCCCGCTTATGGGGTTACCGGCTCCCATTCCCTTGTTCGCGCCGCCCTCTACGTCGCCGTGCAAACCTCCGCCCGACCCTCCTCCATTCCCGCCGTTGAGGACCCCCACCCCGCCCCCGGTGTTGTTCAGGATGGCGGCGCTGATGGGGTAGAGCACCGCGCTGGATAAAGAGGTGTTCGTTGTGGCGTTCGCGGAGGAGGAGCTGTTGGGGTGCGCGTTGGGAAAGGCGGTGGTGGTGGTGGTGGACTTGTAGCTCCGGGTCTCGCCGCCGGAGCACTCCGAGAAGGCGGAGTAGTTGCTCGGCGCCACGTTCTTCCCGCTCCGACTGCGCGGCCCGCGGTTGCGGCCACCCCGGCCATCCGTGACGCCGGGCTGCGGCTTCACCGCGAGGGGATACGCGACGTGCTGCGCGTGTGGGTTTCCCCCCACTTCCTTTCCAGTGGTGGTGGTGGTGATGGGGTTCCGCGTGCCAATCGCCTTCTTCCCTGTGACGTTCGTGTTATTGGTATTCGTGGTGGCGATGGGGTTTAGGGCGGGGTTCGCACCACCGGCCCTGCCCAGGGTGACGTGCTCGAGGTAATGTACCACCGTGGGGGTGCGGCTCGCACCATCGCCACCGGTAGTATTCGTAGCAGTAGGATTGGTGGTGGGGTGGTTAAAGAAGTACTGCGACGGGTATTGCGTCTGTGGGGCCTGTGGTGGGATCGTGTAGGCGCCGTGCGGGGCCGCCTGGTAGGGGTTCACCGGCCGCACCTCGTAGTCGTGGTGGTAGCTCGGGCTGTTTGCTGCGTAGCTGATGCGGCGGAGTGAGTCGTTCACCTCCGTATCGATGGTGCTGCGGCCGTTGTTAGTGTTGTTGATGCCATTACAGCTACTGCTGCGACCGCCGCCAGGGGAGGTTCGCGGGAGCGCCGCACGCAAACCCGTCTGCGGAGGGTACGCCGCTCCCCCACCTCCGAGTGTGGGCGCACTGCCAGGAGAGAAGGGGCTGCCGAAGTTAAGGTGGTAGCTCTGGTTGATATCCTGCACTACCATGGTAACCAACCGGAGGTCCTCCACAAAGGTCGTGCTCAGGGACGGCGCCACGGCCGGACTGCCGCGGCCGCTCTTCGCGCTCCCACTAGCAGGATGACCGGTGACGTAACTATAGCTGCCGTTCCCTACGATCTGCATCTCGCGACGGATGTCTTGAGCCAAGGTGTGGATGAGGTGAACGGATTTCTCTAAGTCTTGTGTGAACGAGGAGAGCTGGTAGGCATCCGCTACGGAGGAGAATCGCTTGTCTGGATCCGATGTGGTCACGGTTGAGGGGATGGCCTCGGGATGCCCACGAGACCCACGGACAACCCCGGAGGCGTGTGGAACCGACGAGACGCCGTAGCTGGTGTACCCCCCCCCTCGCGTGTGCGTTCCTATACCGGCGTTGTGGTTGCCTGCCGATGGCATAGCGGAGCGTAGGTTGGCCGCTTGAAATTCCTTCTGCAGCTCTATATCGAACATATCCAGTTCACTTGCTAAAGAAGATTCATCCAATGGCTCAGTACTTTTATCAAGGACGGCATCATCGGCCAGCCCATCAACCCTTTCACATTTACGGCTATTGTGAGAAAATAGCTGGGACTCTGCGGCTGTCGCGGTGTGATGCGAGGGTGGACCTATAGGGGAAGCAGGGGCCCCTGCCAAGGCAGGACCCCCACCTGTGACCTCTGAAATATCCATTTCCTCTTTTTCTCTGCACTCCGCTACGATGTTTGAACTATATAGATATACACAGTTCTTGCAACTTCTCCTTACTCTAACACAATCCCTACTTTCACTTTATTCGTGTGTATTCGTTGTTAACAAATGCACCGCTACCAACTAATACACGACACAAAAAAGCAGATTGTGTCTCCCCCTTCACAAAGGCCTAATAAAGTAGACAGGACAGGAGCTCTGATGTATATATTTTTGTTTGGAAAAGTGTATATTTCGCTCTTTGTTCTCTATTCAACGGGAAAAAGAATATTCTCGGAGCTGTGATGGGCAGGTGGGACACTTCGAAATAGATGAACAACAAAATGCGAAGAAACACCACCTGATAGGAGCAATAATTTAATGCTAATACAATGGGACGAGGAAATAAACGAAAGAAAGGAGTTCCCCTTATTTTTAGAATTCTTGTGGACTTTGAATTACCCTTTTCCTTTGTCCACACTTTCTCAGCTGTAGGACTTTGTTTTAGGTTTATGAGCAAGATGGGTATGAATAAAAGACAAACAGATTACTTCTAAAAAAGGAACTTAGCACCACTAAAACAAAGCGGTAGTACGTATGTGATGCTGAGTTGCCGAATAGATTGTACAAAGGAAAAGCAGACCTATTCCCCTTTAGTTTTTAGGTGATACAAAAAGTCAATATTGAGGAGAAAGGGTTTCCCTTTTTTTTTCGTTGTTTGAAGCTTTGTTACGCCTTTCTGATACTATCCTTTTTATCACCTTTCTATGTAGAGCGCTTGTTTTTATAGATATATATGTACAGTCAAAAATTTTCCTTAAACTTTTATGTTGCAAGAACCAAATGATAAACCACTCTGAGATCACTGTTTTCAAAAACAAAACAAAGCAAAACAGTCTCGTGCAGCAGTGGTGGTGAATAGGTAGTGACGTGCGCGAGATACGAATAAAGGAAAAGTGACAAACAAGAAACAAACCAAAAAGAGGTATTCAAAGAATAAATATTCTTTCCTAAACCTCACTCTTGGGGTTGTTCTTCGTTTCCCCTTTCCTTTTCCTAGTCACACTTCTCTATATCAAATATATATGATGTTATTAGTATATTTTATGAAATTAGCTTTATCGTTGTGTGCTTTTTAAGTTTAAATATTTCCTACACTATTTAAGAGAAATAGGAGAGAAAGGAAATAAACGAAATGAATGTGGACGCACATATTTTTTTCCCCATCTTCTACTGGGCGCCGCAAAAAGTACATTTTAAAGCTTAAAAGAAACTAACATAGACAGACCGCGTTGAAAAGAATTACGCTGGTGTGGCCCATTTGTTCTTTTGTTGAACTGCGTTTCACACTGCAAGGCCCGATCACTGGGGGAGCAATGGTAGACAATAAAGCTAACTAGATGATGAAATCCACTGCACACTTTGCCTTTTCGACCTATGTATAGATTGTCGGATTAGGTAGGGGAAAGATCTTCAGTCCAACTCAAGGGGTTTCCCATGGTAGTCACTGCGTCTTTAACCTCTTTCCAATCCGACGCGCTGCACAGATCGCCCTCCGTCTTTTCCCTTTTTAGGGCCCTCATCCCTGTTGCCTTGGAGGTCGCCGCGGGACCGTGCGTGTTGATGGCATCTGAAACAATGTTCATCTGGAGCGGCTCCGCAGGGTGAAGATGAAGCGCACTCAACAGAGCAGATGTAGTAGGGGCTCCTAAAATCGCTTCAACGTTTCCCGATGCTACTTCTGCGCACTCCCTAAAGCCACCTCGACGGTTCCAATTATCAACAAATCTGTTTAGGTCAAAAAACCCACTAGGAGAAGCGGCGTGTGCGGTAGGTGGATCCCCTGGAGGATTGCGGCGCGAAGCTGGACCACACAGATTTCGGCTTACATAGGCGTGCGAGGCTTTGAGTACCTCTACCCACAGAGGGTGCCGTTGAATGCGATGCTTCCCCGCAAAATCGGAGGGCAAACTCCCCGATTCTCGTGTATGAGAGGAGGGAGGAGGGCTTGATGACGCATCCCGCGCCGCCCCCCCGCGTGGGTGAGAAACCGTTATATCAAAAAAGTCAATAAAGCCCTTTCCCTTGCTGCACTTGTCTAGTGCCGTAAAGCTGGTGGAGGTGACATCCCCAGAGCCATTAGATATATTCTCACGGTGCGGGACTTTTGCTTCGAAAAAGCAATGCAGATGCCCCGCGAACCAGTGCTGGGGTTGCACGAGGCGTAATAATTCCAAGGTGTGCGGGTTGCCAAGTTCGTTGCGCACTACCTCGTCCTTAAAATAGGGTTTATAGCGAAGCAACTGGGGCTCGTCGCCGTACTTTGTGATACCCGCTGGCCAGTCATGAGAAAGCATAATATCCACGCGCAACGGGAAGAAGAATTTTGTGGAAGCTGAGTTAAAACTTGAAGAGGTGCCATTTTCCGGATTTATAGCATCGACGTCCTGTGGTTTTGGTTGCACCGCTGCGTCGTGGTGTGCATTCCCTCGCAATATCCTTTCATTGCGTAGTATACTCATAAAAGCTTGAAGCTTTTGAACTTCAATGCGGCGAACGTGGTATGCAGAGCGCTTGGCGGCTTCCTGACTCCAGTACGGCCGAGAAGGATATGGACGGTGGTAGTCCATATCCTTAAAGATGCCGCTTAGGCCGCCTATACAGAGCATTTCATCCACGACAATAATGCCCGAATGGCCTAAATAGTAAATGTTTGGTGCCACAAACCCGCCGTAGCTTTCCTCAGCCAGCCAGTCAGAATTTTCATGATTCCCGCCAATAAAAATCGTCAAGTAGGGTGCCTGGCGGTGCTGCTGAAAACTTTGTTGTCGTTGATCGCTCGTGTTCCCTGTTGTCGTCGAGAGAGGTACATTGGTCGAAAGATTCGTGTAGTATGAGGCGAAGTCACCAAGAGTCTTGTACTTGTCAGGGACTACCATACTCGCCATATCTGCTTCATTTCGCACGCACTGAAAATCCCCACAACAAATTAGTAGATCAATTTTTTTACCCGTTTGCTTCTCATGATCACTACAGGCGGCATAAATGCGGTTGAGCTCGCCATGGCTGCATCCTTGCACCGCTACGTGAAATGTTTTCTCTGGGACTGTAGCAGTGGTGATCCTCTCAGAGGGCTTTGGCATTAACCCCTTTTCCCGATTAGTAAAGAATCGGTGCAAGGCAGACATCCACCTTTCAACAGATGCTTTTCCTTCCTTTGTATACCTTTTTAAATACTTTTGCCTTTAGAGGAGTCCTCCAGCCGATGAACACAAAGAGCTTCTAATTTTGGACCCACTGTTGATGCCAGTATTGAATATGGCCACCGTAGAGGATTTCTTCGCCAGTAAAGATTATTTTATTATCCTTGTGGCTTTTTTGGTAGAAAAATGGTAACATTCATGATGAAAGGGTAGTTGGCACATACGCACAAACCTGCATTAGACGACATCGTTTTATCTATGCCGGAAACTGCAACTTCACTGCCCATGATTTTATTCCAAATATCTTTCCAAATCGCTCATGAAGCCTGACTTATGCTTCAAATAAGGCAACAAAAAATGAAATTTGGTCGAACACTAAAAAAGATCCTCATTTAACTAGTTCATCATTCCTGCTTCGATTATTGTTATTCTTCCTTTCCTACCTCCTGCACTAGTGGGCAATATTGCTCTTGAAGTATTCACTCTCAAGTTGTCTCAGTAGACCAGGAAAATGGGCAGCCTCGTAAGCGTCCGGACAGCCTCCACTTATCCACCGCACAACACCTTCATGATCGACGAGCATTGCATAGGGGCACATATAATTACGCAAATTAAACGATGTAAAGAATGGTTCCAACATCTTAGTCCCCAGAAAGGTTGTGGATGCCAGCAGCGCATTGTTCACCATTGCCGCCTCAAAGTGATCCTCTTTTTTATTGCCTTGTGCGTTGTTGCTTGTTTGAGTATTCATCGACAGAGATTGAGCAAACCGCTGCACGTAGAGGTTGTGTACCCACCGATACTTGTACAGGTCCATGCTACGCAGCGATACCACGTCGATAGGCATATTACGATGAGTTGTCGTTTTAAGATGATGCTTTGATTCGAGAGGACCCTTCGCAGCGGCGTCTGCTCCTGTGCGTTGCTCCTCGACCTCGGGCATGTACGCCATCAGGGCCGGGCAGATGGTGTGGTAGGCCAGACGCCGCCACATCGCGTCCGCCGTGGAGCCGAACTTATGGCCGAGCTGCGAGTAAATCACGAGCGCAGGCCGGCGGAAGGACCCCGCGGAAAGCGGGGTAAACAACGACGCATCTTTTGAGCTAAAATTCTTCTGCACACCGCGCGCCACGGGCGTGGCAGCCTTCGTGGTCGTGAAAAAACCACCGAAAAGGGACTGCAAGGGGCTCGGCCGAAGCGCGTCGCGCAACACCTGACAGACCTCAGCGTTGAAGTCAGCACAGAACTGACGCATGTTGGCACACGAAACGTTCGGAAAGGTGGGTGGCAACGGCAACGACTCAGCGCCACCCGTCTTGGCGTGGGAAATACGAGGAGCGCTATCAAACCTTGCACGGTTGTCTAGGGGAGACATAGCGGGCTTCGCATCAGGTGCCCATGCGGCGTTTTCCCCACCAGCGTAGATGCTTGGGCTTGAAAAGGCAGAGTGAGGGTGTGGCGGCCATGATTTTTGCCGACGCGACAACGTCGACGGGCCGCGCATTAGTTTACTGTTGTCGATAATCTTTAACTCACTTAAGGCATCCTCGTTGAAATAGCGCAACATTCGCTCCAATTCATTATCAATGGCAAACTCAGTGCCATAATAGAAGTACTTGAACATCAAAAACACGTCGCGTGAGAGGATAGGTTTGTCCAAGTCCATCCCCACGTCTCGAAACACAAGCATCCGTTTGCGCTCCTCCCGGATCTTCTGCTTAATTTTTTCGTGTCTGGCCTCGGCAGTCGCATCGTACGTTGGGAGCGAAGGCAGATGGCTTTTAGCATCCATTTGGCTCAGTTTCTCTAAAAAGAGACTAAGTGTCGCCACTTTTTTTCCCCCCAATCCCTCCTCATTATTTCGATGCGGCCCTCCATCGAGGGGACTGCGGTCGGGAGGAAAGGGATGCACACGATACTCAGGTGTTTTTTTAAGGTCGTTTTTGGATACCTTCGACAGCCTTTCGTGCGTTGCTATATTCGTCGCTGAAGAATTGGGGTTTATTTCACTTTCATTCTTACTACATTCAAGTGGAGAGGCATGTAACACTTGCTCTTCGCCTTGTGCTCCCTTTCCGTCATAGCCCTTTTGTATTTGATGAAGCAACACAACGGGATCATCGTTATCCTCCATGTTTGCGGTTCCTATTTTCGTTGATTTAGTTGACGCACAACGCGCAGCACAGTGAACAGTGCCGACACGGGGTGTGAGGTGCCCATGAACTAGTCGCCTAGAATGAAAAAGCATCCGGCGCCGCAGATCATGAGACGAAAAGAACTGACATACTTCAGCTAACATCGCGTCCCAGCATACTTACTTAAGGAAAAAAGTGGCATGTGAATAGGGGGAAATGAAGTGTATTACACAGTAGGTTTTCTATTAAGCACAAGTTTCATCCTTTCCAAGGACTTTTCCATCGGGGCAGCATCTCCCCATTTGTTTCACAAACGCAGTACATAGATTATACCAGTTATGAACACAATAGTAACAAGTATAAATATAAATCAGTCAAAAACATAATGGGTTTCTACTGAATTGCATTAGTAGTAGTAATACCTTTTACATATAGTCTATTTCGATAAAAGGGCATGGGAAAAACATGCTGAAAGTGCAGCATAAAGTGATTTTACATAAAGACTTTCATCATGTATTTCTAGCAAAACGAAAACCAAACGTTTAGATATTTTTCTGTGCAATCGCAGCACTCAGAACAGTTTCTCAGTAGTCGCACATAGACCGTGAGACTCCATCCCCGTTACACTAAGACAAAACCGTACAGAGAGGCTAAAGATTATCTGATTAGTAGAGCATTATTAACTCCTACCGTACTCGTGTTATGGTCACATTAAGATTTCCCCGGTTACACTGAAAAGCGATAATACCCATACTATTCTTTCGAGAACGGTAGATCATAGCTGAATCCTTTACATGATCCTGAGAGCCACTAGCAAACGCAACCTTCACTTCGCCGTAAGCGGCTGCATCGAGTGAACCTTCCCATAACAATACGTCCCGAATTTATTGCACTTGCCTTTCGTATCAGGTAATGACACTTTTTTTAAAATCGCATTACAGCATTTCTGAAGACAATTTAACCGCAAATTCCACTACTATCGAAGCTCCGCCATGGTTTTGACAGATTAGTCCATTTGCGATCAATTTCTCCGGATACATAATATTCGAAAAAGAACATAGACCCTATTAGACGAGGTCATACAAGGATATCACAGCATAGACAATCTTGCAAACAGTAAGTTACTGTAGTTCACTCAAATCAAATTCAAGCTTATCGCACAGCACTACCCCTCTATATGGTTGTTTTTTCTTGTAGAGGATGTCTTTTACCCTAAAATTCTAGAACAAATAAGGATCCATACCTTCCAGATTTACCTGATTGAGGACCTTTGTCATTTGATCATAATAGGTCAATTTAAGCATGCCTTTAATATAAACTTGGGAGTCCTTTCGAACCCTTCAAGCAGACACGATCCACAAAGTGACTTTGTCTAATAGCCATAATAATGACCTTCAGAGGATATTACGGTGTGCGCTACATGTGTTTTAAAGTGAGTAACGAACTTTGAGAGTTTTCCTCGCACTCAAAATACATTACTAGCTGCGAGGTACTTTTTGTAATGAGGCAGGTTGACTGCAAATGCTCATTCTGCGAAATCGTAGAATGTTGGCTCAAGCAATAGATCTTCATAAGGCTTTACATTGCATAACCCCCCCCCCCCCCCAAATTGATGAATTGGTTTCCTTTTTGATCCAGTTGATGATTGATTCGAAGAACAGTGAAACCTTAACTGAATGACAATGCCCTCCTTTGCTATAAAAGCTGTCCGGGCAGCTTTCAAATTTATGCGAAATCTCATCAAGGACAGTAGAAAATTACCATGTGCTGGCATTTCAATTCATCTCAAACTTCTCATTCTTACCAGGCTTCGTTGTCTCCCCCTTGTACTTGTACCACTCTTTAACACACACACTTCGTAAGTTGTTTGTCTTCGATCAGGGCGTATCATAACTTAACAGCTCGTTGACAACAGATTCCTACAAATAAGGCAAAAATCCAAGCAAAGCAAAATTTCTAAATTTTTCCCTTCTCGTCAGACTTGGCCTAATATATAAAAACTTATTCGAGGTACATATAATGAATCACATTCATGTTACTTACACTTCAGGAATGTGGCTGAGCTGACATGGATTGTTTTACGGAAAGGTGATAAATAACATGTAACAATATGCGATGCAGCCTGATGCCATAAAATCATTTTTTATAAGGCAAACACTAATAAATCCTGTTCTATTTGCTTTAGATACAGTAGGAGCATGCCTCGCTGTCTGTTAATTTTTGACTTCTCGTTTCGGAGTTTAAGCAACTATTCAACTCAGTATTATCACCAGTAGTTGGACATGAGTGAGCATGATGAATATTTACTGAACGTACTTCTATGAGCTATTTGTCTTCTATAAATAGTTCTATCAGTTGATTCAGCAATGTGAGTTCTAGTTTATTTTCAGCATCAAGGGAATATTCAAGTATACTATTCATCTATGTTAGTGAGGATATAAAATTAATGAATATGTGATAGAGGAAAACCAGTAAAGAAATATTTTGTTGAGCCCAAGTCAGTGAGGACAGCCCAACACGCTTTTGACGCTGCAGGGCAAAGGTTAGTACATCACGTCATAAGTTTTCACTTTTTTATTTATGTTAAGTAGTTTATACGATTTTTAGGAATGAGTTTGTCCCCTTTGACATCTACTTTGGCCCTTTTCGCGCATATTTCCGTCGAAGAACTTTGACAGCACCCATAATTTGTTTGCGTAGGTCCTTAAAGCCCTTTTGGCGTTTGTTGACTACATGAGCAAACTGAATGCTTGCAATTTCCTGCGCTAAGTTTTTGGGCTCATTTGAGCGTTGTTTCTCCAATCCCAGTGATTGCTCTAGTAAACCTTGTTCGTCCTTTTTTTGATAGCGCTGACGCTTTTTTTGTCGAACTCCTCGAAGGCCTTTCGGAGTTTTCTTGCCCTTATTTCCTACTTGAGCATGCGTTACAATTGCTACGCTCTTGGCACCGCGACCAAACCCACGCCCCATTTTACTTCTTTGATACCGTCCTTTGCGGGAAAGGTATTTTCACTTTTTTTTTTGAGATTAAAAGACAAACTGCATGAGACAAATATATTGAAAAATGCAAATCGTAAGTTGCCGTATTGGTTGTACACACGAAAAGATACCCACAACTGAGTTATTACCTTTCACAAATTTCATACATGCGCTACGCAGTCCGCGTATCCGCTAAAGTAAAAAGTAAGAAAAACATTAAATGACAGAATACCCTTAACGATACTCACTATAACTCAGCGAAAGGTCTCCTAGCTTATCTATTTCAGCAGCAAAAGAGCCGCTGAAGCTTAGTGCATTTAGTGCTGAAGGTAAAAAATAAATAGCAATTACAATCAAACAATTAGATACAAGAGAGTAAACCTTCAGCTTTTAGGAATTTTTTTTTTTTGCCTAGAGAGAAAAAAGAGCTTTACATAATTGGAACATAGATGACCAATATAAGAGATAAGAACAATGAGCGAAAATTATACATGAATAGCCACAAAAAGAAATAAAATTCCTAACATATTTTTTTTACCTCATGATATAATCTACCATTTTCTCTGATGATTACAGTATATATTCCACATAGCTTTGATGAAATTCTTCGATATTTTCTATCCAGGATTTGGGCGTTCTACTGAGGAATTCATGTCTACAACACTTTCATGTGCTACATATTGTTCTTCATTATCGTACCCATCAGCCATATGTTCCACTGTAGCAACTGAAGCGACGCTCCTCTGAAACTCAGGCATTGGGGCTGGACTCACAAAGTATTCATGAGTAATAATGCGTTTTTTCTTTTTGCCAAAAAGGCTTTCAGTACCGGTGATCAGACTTCCCCACCACATGCTCATTTTCGTTGAAAAACTCATTTAGCTTTCCTTTTTGTTGAGTGCTGCTCTTAGTTTTAAATCTTTGTAAAAAGTATAGGACTTCAATTCAAAACAGGGGACTATGCTGCACTAATATAGATACCACCAAACATTTCCCATATTTTACATCGAACCAGTTTAGTGGAATAGTAGTAACAGAAATGTGTTGAAAGTTTTAACATATCCTCAAGGGGGAAAGGTTTACTCGAATGCATAACTAATCACAGTTATGCCAGTTACCCCTTCTCCTGAACCATTTCACATTCTAATTAATAGTTTATTCCCAAACATGAGCGTGAGTGTTTTTATTTATCATGAGATGTAATAGTACTTTATGAGAATGGTTGAATTCATAGCTTTTAACAGAGAGGGAGTGAATAAAATAGTGGATCAACACAGATAGGCAATACAAATTGCATGTGAGGAGCATCTAGCCAAAGGGAAAAGCACCATAATTTTAATAAATTCATACAAGGGGATATAAATAATTTATGTTAGAAGTTTTTATAAATAATATGAAAGTCAATTATATATATGCTGAGTCCCAGGGTTATAACTTCAGCGTCTGATGTTGGAAAAGCCACAGGAAAATGAACTATAAAATAGAAGCTTATCAGGATTGAAAAATTTGTGACTGATAAAGTTTTAGAGGGCAAAGTACTAAAGAGTATCAAGTTTCTTTTTTTATATATACAAAAATTAATTTCCCGCATTCAGCGACACGCCTCTGTACAGTACAACATGAAAACACGCAACTATCGCGCATATAACTATGAATATGTAATAACACGTATAGCGGGTGTGGAGAATGTTTTAAAAAGACAAGAGTTCACATTCAAATACATTTCTGAGGAATCCATACGACAGTGAAATCATGTTTTGGGTAAAGTGGCGCAAAGGGAGGAGCCGTTGCGACCGAAACCGGCGCGCCATCCTTGAACTTCCCCGCCCCTGTCATCTATCACAAGCCCGGGCAATAAATCTGCTAGACTTGTGTCTGAAATGCTCCACCCAATTCTTTTCCTTGAAATGTGTTATGCGTTGCTATTGGCTTGACCCGCCAAAGGAGTGTAAAGGCTTTTCTCGTTTCCTGCGATGTTTCTCTCATGTTTGCGTGTGGTGGCGGCTCCCCCCCCTCCTCTATACCCGGTTTGCGTTCCCCCCCCCCCCCACCACTCACACACACACTTACTTCCGGGAGTGTCATCGCTTCTTTGGCATCGATTACCAAAGGAGGCTGATTTTCCAGCTGGGAAAATATACCGGGGTTGTCGTCAAGCCTAGAGGTGTTTTGCTTGTCTTCCCTTGCCTCATTTGGGATGGCCTCTTTTCCCCTGTTTCGGGTAATAGCGCTTTAGCGGGGATGCCTATTTGGTTCCTCCGATGGGAACAGGTGCGGCGTATTGCCGTTGCATGCCCACTAGGGTGTTGTTTTGGTTTTCATCTGAACCCGACTAAGAGCAAAAGATATTCCATAGATAAAGGTCTAGTGAATACTGTTGGTGTTCGTAAAGGGGGTCTTTTGGCCTCGTTTCCCTTCCCTCCATGTAGGGGAAAGTTCATGTCATTCGCGAATTGCATGTCCGTTTTCAGGGTGTGGCTGTTTTTTTCACTCTGCTACGGGATTGAAATGAAGTGCAAGAGGATTGCCAACTGATTATAGATAAACGGTCTGAATGAATCGTCAAACACTACTTCATCTCACATGATGCTCTAGGGGTTAAGAGTGACCTAAATTAAACAAAGGAAGTATTCATTGACTTCTAATTAGGATTGAATGGTCCTTTGGGCTCTGCAAACGTCATTCTGGGCAGGAAATCGGTCAATCTTTTAGTTTTCGCTCATGTCACTACAAATGATGCCCATAGTACACTGTGTCTATCTATAACAGACCAGTTTTTGTTCACGAGCCAGTGTGGGAATTGCTATTTGCAAGCAGCTTTCTGTTGCACGTGAGGGACCAATGATCGTCAAGGTGAATCACTGCTGCTGATTCCAATTTAGCCAGTATAATGCTTTTCTCCCTAACTATTATGACTCTTATTCGCATGCATTTCGAAATTCTCAACACTCCATTGCTAATTGGTGTATGCTGTTCCTACAATTATTACTATGAAACATGTGTAGCATGCCTACATCCATGACACAGTAGGTTCTCCTCCTGCTTATTGTTGCTACCAACGCTAACCACTTTGATTCCTTGCATCTGTCCCTTGATCTTTGCTTTATTGTCTTTCATCATGCTTGTGAAACAATGTTCTGTAGATATATCTACTAATAATGACTGATACCTTTTGTGAAGCTTCAGACTTTGATCTCAAAGCATCATCCAACCGAATTGTCGATGAAGCCAGAAGCATCCAGCAGCTCATTAAACACTATCAAAGATTAACACGACAGTTTCAAGATGATGTTGCCCAGCATGTTCTTAAGGAGGTAGACGAGAGTAACCGTTTTAAGTCACTTGATACTACTGTGGCTGAAGCAGAACTTGTATTTCTTCGGAATAGTGATTTCTTAACATATTCTCACGAAAGAAAGGAGGCTGATGTGCATCTTGAAAGCATCTTTCCTACATCACGGATGCGTGCGCATGGGGGGGAGAATGAGTCTCGAGAGGATTTAACAGAAATTTCATGGATATCCAGACTTAACATGTCGGGACTTTCACAATGGAGCCCCGATGCAGGCTCTTCACTGAAGGCACATGGCGACATTCGGGAAGTCTTTCTTGGATGGAGGAAGAGAAATGATACCTTAGACATGGCATTCAAGCACATGTGCGAGCTTTTATTTGATTCACTGAAACAAGCGCGCGAGGTTAGTTCACCAATCGAGCAGAAGTACGTCTGCTTTTTTAATGGTCTACCTTTCACTTCGCTTTCCTTTGCCGATGTGGGCGAAAACATGGATTTGTGGAAGCAGTTTGCTTCATTTGGGACTTATTTTCAGTCTACTAACTCTATTGAAGATGGAGTTGTCAAAATCGCTCAAGCGTACTCGAACAGGATCATTGATCTATCCAGCCTGACTAAGAAACAGTTTTGTGAAGCTCTCTGGTTCAACTACGACTTTGAGAGCAGCAGTACACCCTGTGATGGAAAGGTCGCAAGGAATTTTTATAATAACTTCATACCTAACGTTCAATGCGATGCTCATGACAATATTGTTTTGGTGGATCCTTCCCGGATGCGCGGCAGTCAGCCTTTTCGTGGGTTCTTTATTAAATCGGAATTGATTGCAGTTGAGCACATCGGCACACCTGTTAATGTATCTTTACTATTGTCTCCCAGGGGAGGTGAGAAGACGGAAAATGCAAATGATAATGTAAATATAATGGGCCAAATCGCTCAAATGTTCCAAAAAATATTCATCTCCATTATTAACGGGGTGGACAACATACCAGCGAGCACGGTCATGACGGTTGCTTTTAAATATGATTCAATACCATCATCCTCAAACATTGGTGCTCCTATGCCGTTTCAAGAAGGTATAGTTCTGGATGTAAGGCCCATTTCCCCCTCTATACCTTTTTTCTGGCACTTCACGTGGGCTGAGATTTGTGCATTGGGCCAGCTCAATCGAGGTGGCCAAGTCACCCGTACTGATTGTGATTCCAAAGATGTTATTTTTAAAGTGACAGGTGTATCAGCCTCCTCTTTATTGGAGTACGACACCCTAAGCGCGTTGGTCTTTCCCATTCTCAACCAAGAAATCAAAAATCACCTCAAAGATGCGTTACAAGGTGTTTTCCCGCATCATCAATATCACAAAAGCATCAAAGACCAGAAATCGTTGCTCTCAAGATACCCTGTCATCGCTACATTCGGAGCCGCGTTGATACTCTTGGGGGTGGGCATAGGACGCCTATTTCGAAGTAGTAAAGATTTCTAACCTTGTGTTTTCATTATTTTAATCCCTCTGTCTCCACAGCAGCGTGTCCAAAATCCTTCACTGATGTATAATTCTTTCTGTCCTAGGTTCTAATTTGGAATAAGCCTATCATTTTGTTACATTTCATTCTCTATCACTTTATTTAACCATTTTTTACTGATTATATGAAGCTTAATACACATGATATCCTCTTACCTTCCTTATTTGTCGTGAGGGCACCAATACAAAACATTCATACTCAAAAGGATTAAATATCTAATAATAGCATCCAAAAGGCATAACTTTTAAGATCGGTGGGAACACACTATCCCAAGGAGATAAACTGTACGGGGAGCCATGTTGAGTGCCACAACGCGCCAGAGGCGAACAACGACGGTTAATACTACATCTAGTGGCTTTCACAATGTACGTGTGCAAGAATATGAGAGGGATAATTCGATATTTAAACTAGATGCTACTAGAGATTCTGCTCCGTACTCGTATTTTGTTCAAGAGCTCCAAACAATTTGTGCTGATCAACTAGCCAAGAATTTTGTTGAGATGCCAGAAATCGACACTCTGCAGAGCCAGGAACCTCATCTCTATGATATGGTTTTAAGCTGTTTGCCTGAGCCTCTGAATACGTCGCATACAAGCCTGCCACTACGTGTGTGCGTTGAACGCGTATCGGAAGAGTCATATTGGAAACGCTGCTGTATGTCGAGATGGTCATCGGGACAGCTTTCCGCCTTCCTAGGCAACAATGAGCAATTGCTAAACAAAGTATACGGATGGAAGGAACTTTACCTTGAACACTTTCTGAGTGACTTTTTATTGTCTCTCCGAGGTAGAAACGGAAAGTGTGCTTCCTATTCTCAAACACCGTGTTCAGCACGAAAGGACGATTCAAATGGGGGCGCTGCCATGTGGGCTTCTGAAGAGGACCTTCAAGTCCTGGCTGATTTGTGCGTGACGTGCCGTGATTATATCCACACAGTTGAGCTCCCATGCCAGTTTACACATCTTAATTGGTACAATCACTTTTTCTCTATGCTTCCGCACGCTCGGTCTTTTCGTCTGTCCTATGGTGTGAGCAATGCAGGAACCGATTATAAACCTTCCATGATGGGCTTTACTCAGGATGACGCCGAAAGTATTCGACTCCTTTTGTCATTTCATCCTTTAGAAAAGCTACGAATTCCCAATACGCGTCTTCGGGACCCCCACACGATGGCTATTTGTGCTGGTCTGGTAAACAACCAGAGCCTTCGCGTGCTTGACTTGTCGCACAACGCCATTGGAGATGGTAGTGTATGTGACGCATTGGCTGTGCTTCTTTCTCAGCCTGGCTTTCCCCTAGAGGAGCTGTATTTAGGCGACAACAACATCACTGGTGAAGGTGCTCGAGCCTTAGCTGAGGCCTTAGAAGTAAACAAATCGCTACGTATCTTACACCTGGACCAGAATCGAATCCCTGATGAAAACGCTGGTGATCTCCTCGTGCGAGCCGTAGGTAAAGCACCAGCATTGCGGGAGTTGAACTTAGGATGTAACGCCTTTGGATCTTCGACCGCCGTCGCACTGATAGAGGTACTACCGCAGCTTCAGACCTTGAGATCATTGAATCTTGCTGGAAATTACCGGTTGGGGGGAGGATACTCGGAAAAAAGCCTTGCTGATCTTTCTGGGAGCGAGACTTTGTTAACAGCTAATACGTCTTTTCCTTGTGTAAATGTTTCCGTCGTCCCACAACAGCCGGACAGTAATCAGGAGCATTGTGAATCCATAAATGGAGATGCCAAGGATGACACGAAAGATGTGGAGCGCTTGCTGGAGCCCGTAAATACAGAGGATGGTTTCGTATCGGTGCTTTCCTTATCGAATAAAGATATTGACCCAAACGAGAAGGATACTAGTCAAAAGAAGGATGAAGATGAAGGGGTATCTGCAGTGGCCGCTTCTTCTCAACCGTGTATGAAAATCAGTGCTACTGGATTAAAGCTTTTAAAAACAATCTATCAAAACTCGTCCTTAAGGTATATTGACGTCCGACGCTGCGGTTTCACTACTAATGAAGAACAGGCTATAGAGAGGCTTATGCGAAGCCGTCCAAGTATCAAGTAATGTAAGAGGTATCCAGGGAGGTATTATTCTCCAACATATACGTCACTTTTTATAGGTATAAATCACGTTTGTGCTTCAGCGGTGACTAATTATGTAAAGGAAAACTACACCGTATTATAGGTGCAGTTGTTTATTGTATTTGTATCTTGATGTTCAATAGTAGAGGTATTCACAATTTGCCCTTTTTTTTAGCGTTCTGTTGAAAAAAACCAGAATAATGCGGATATAACATTGATATATATTGGCATATATTCTATAATTCTTGTGAAGTTATCTTGTTTTTATTTCTCTATTTTGCTTCTATACAACCTTTTCTAATTTCAATCATTTTCTTCGTCTGTTTCAACAAGGCGACAAATCTACATGACAAGTGAATAGGCTTGCATACACAAACCAGCGACATATATTGATAAACAGAGCTTTTCTCAGTCTGACACATCTGATTCATCCAACAAGGCGTCCGTAGCCATTTTCGCCTGTTCTTTCCTTAAGCCAAGTGGAACAATGCTCATTTCTTTTCGTGGTATGCTGTTGGTCATTGTCATTCTCTTACACAGCTGGATTCTGTTTAATATTGTGTACATGTGGCCGATCCTTTTACTTACAACACTCAAACGCCTTACCAATGATAGAGCCGTTAGACCGCTATTTTCCGTCTTGAATCAGCTTAGTAATTATATAAAGTGGATTTGGTTTATGTTTCTCACCTTTCTATTTGAGACAATATTAGGGATCCGCTTCGCGTACACCGTTGTCGACGACTATGGGGAAAAGCATATGAAATCGCACTTCTTGACAGCGTATGATCGCGGCAAAGGAATTGAGGTTCACCCAGATCTTGACAAGATTTTCTCGCCTCCATCAAAGTCAGGGAAGGTGAAGATTATTTTACTGAACCACCACAGCCGCGTTGATTGGCTCTACTTTGCGATTTTCCTCATCCGTAGCCGAGCTTTTTGGACGCTGCGCTTTATCTTGAAGAATGATCTCAGACACATTCCGGTCATGGGTTGGTGCATGGAGGTGTTTGGGTTTATGTTTCTTTCACGCTCATGGGAGTCCGACAAGGCGTATCTTCAGAACATGATAAACTACAACAAGACGATGAATGAGGCGTGTACACTGGTTATTTTTCCTGAAGGAACCGATCTTTCACGGAGCAACATTGAAAGGTCTCAAGCGTTTGCAAGAGTTAAGGGTATGCCGACTTTTCATCACGTATTGAACCCCCGGACGACGGGTTTGATAGGGATCAAGAATATGATCGGACCAGAAAACATCGAAGAGATTGTTGACTGCACGATTGGGTACACCTACAGCGCACCCCGCCGGCGGCCGAACGAGGCATCCCTAGTTGACGGCTCGCATTCCCGTAAGGTTCACCTTCTCGTTCGCAGCCATGCTTTTCGATTTCCTACCACGAAGCCAAACATTGATGTGGGTAGCGGCACATTGGTGCCCATCGATGATGACAAGTTCTGTGGGTGGATCCACGACCGCTTCGCTGAGAAGGAGCAGCTCTTATCGCGCTTCTATCGCAACAGCCCCATTGGGTATGACGCTGCAGATGTGAGAGAGGTGTATGGTGAACATTGCGCTGTTGAGAGCTACGACTGTGATGAATATCATGCTAACACAGCAACATCGTTGTGCTCATTTTCCCTATTTCTTCGTGAGATTAGGAGAAAGAATTCGAAGATCTGGTGGGTACGTTTTGTGAATAGTATGTTCTATTGTTTCTTATCTATCTTTAGTTTGTGGTACGTTGGATGGTATATTCTTCTACTCTACTGCGCGATCGCAACTATTGTCTTTATAGTGTTTCTGAGAGCAGTGAAGAACCTACAGCAGGCTTTGTTTCTTTAAGCAGGTTTCAGATGGGCAATCAATTGTTGTGCGCTTGACCGGTAGAAAAAAATGAAGAGTTGGTAGTAAGGACACGACTGCACTCCCGTGTTTCTAAATATTTCTTATGTTCACAGTTGCTTGATCTTCATTACTGTTTGGTTCTACCTTTTTTATCACAGTTACTTGCTTGAATGCTCAACATATACGGTTGGTTTCCAGTGCTTTCCCAAAGTGGATAAAGATAAGCAAACGAAGCCAGCATTTCAGTCACATTAGGACGCATTAATCAATACAGGGATGTTGATTGTTCGCGCACGGCATATTTTGAGTTCCATTTTATGCAAAATGTGGATCTTTATTGTCATTAAAAAAATCGATATTCTTTGGATAAATATTTATAAATTTATCTAATTTTTCTTCTCCCTTTTTAAACGGTCGCATAGGACATCTTGATATTGGAGGTTCCGGGAGGCTTCCTAAGCTCAGCGTTCAGTTGCTCCTTAAATGCTTTAGTTGTTGCCACCAGGTGATTGTATGATCTTATGTTTACGCACGTTGTATTAATATTTTTCTTCCATACACTATTTTCGTTATTTACTTATTTTATGAGTTTTGAGTGAGCACACGCACGACAGGGAAATCCATTTAGTATTGGATTATCAGGCTCAACCAAGGTCAGGAAAGGAAAAAAAGGTTGAGGACGACAGAAGTAAGGAAAATTCTCACATATATTTGGGAGTCTTGTTATTTTTTTTTCTAAATTTAAGCTAAAAGGTGTATTTAAAGTCCATCTATTGATCTATCTATATACACGTTAGCACTCGTATCTAAGGAAAGAGGCAAAGGAAAGAGTGAGTAGTAGTTGTCCAAAAATGTCATTTGTTTCTCGCTATGTGCCGCATTCAGACGTAACGAAAGAGCACTATGAACAGCTTTTACTCGAAATCAGTCGTTGCCTTCCGCCTGGAGTGTACGACAACCTTGAGGAGATAGCGGAAGATGTGCTTGCCATAGTGTGTGCGCACGGTGGGGGAGGCGGTCATAGCGCTGCCGCTGATATCCACGAGCAACAGGCAAGACTTGAGCAGTTGTTGGGTGGTCCCATTCGCCGTGGCACGTTAGATACTCTGCTGCGCTATGGGAAGCTCATAACGGACTATGTAGCGGCCGACGCTACGGGGCCCGACTTCATGGCGAATGAGGAAGCAGAAGGGGTTGATGGGAAAGGTGATGGGATCGGGAGCTTAAACGACGGTCTGGTCTTCGATGCCGAGGGTCCCAGTAGCTCAACAGATGGGGATGACTCCGAAGAAGATGAGCTAGCCCTGCTTACAGGGATGTTACCGCGCCGCCGTCAGGAGCAAAAGTCTAAGAAGAAAGCGCTTAAAGCTGATAAGACGCTATCACAGTTTGCTTTTAACGAGCCGGCTCCTGGTGCGGAGGAGGACGGTGGTGGTGCTTTCCCATTCGACCCGACCCACGAAGAGGAGAGCGTGGAAGGGGAGAATGGGGCCTTCGAAACGCCCAAAATCAGCTTTGACGAGGTCGCATGCAATCCACAGTATGTCAAGAATACTCTACGGCGACTCTTCCCAGCACAAGACCTGGAGGAGTGTGAAGCCCAGGCGAATCGCGTCGTAGCGTACCTTTCAGAGCAGTCTGTGGATGATTTTGAGCTTGAAACTCGGCTAACCGCTTTCCTGGGTGGCTACGACGACGACATGGTGCAGAGCTGGATTGGTGACCTGCGCAGCTCGAGGTGGTGTATCGTGTATGGGCTGCGCTACGCGGCGTGTGAAAACCAGAAAAAGAAGGAAGCGGTTATGGAAGACATGCGCGAGCACGCCCTGAAAGACCCAGCCGTGGAGCATCTGTACGAAAGCATCACCGGCAAGGAGGTCGATTTTGTTCGTGGCGGCAAATCTTCCCGCCCCGACGGGGGAGGGGTTGGCGTCGATGGGGAAGCCGGAGACGGGCTCGGCGCGTCCACCGCGGGGCGCCGGCAGCCACCCCTTCGCAAAGTTGATCTGCAGGCGGCGGCCTTCAGCGACGAGCACGCGCCCCATCGCCATGCGCGGATCACGGTCCCGCATGGAACGCAGCGGGTGGTGTACGAGACCCATGATGAGCTCGTTCTCCCGCCGACCCTCTCCCATAACCTGAAGGGAGCGAAGGAGGCCTTGGTCCCCTTGTCGGCCTTCCCGGCGTGGTGCCATGACGCGTTCCGTGGGGTGCCCTACCTTAACCCGATGCAGTCCCGCGTCTTTGAGTGCGCGTTTCACTCGGATGAGAACATGCTCGTCTGCGCCCCGACCGGGGCGGGGAAGACGAACGTGGCGATGATGGCCATGCTACGCCTCGTGCAGCGGTGTTTGTACGGCGTCGAGGACGACCGCGGCGGCAGCCCGACCCCGCCGGTGGGGTTGCGCGAGCTGAAGATGGTCTACATCGCCCCTATGAAGGCGCTGGTGCAGGAGGTCGTGCGGACCTTCTCGGAGCGGCTGGGCCCGCTCGGCCTCACCGTCGCCGAGCTCTCCGGGGACTCCGCGATGACGCAGCGGCAGATGGACGACGTCCAGCTCATCGTGGCCACCCCTGAGAAGTGGGATATCGTCACGCGGAAGTCCGTCGACCTCGGCGTCGCCTCGCTGCTGAAGCTGATCATCCTGGACGAGGTCCACCTTCTACACAACGAGCGCGGCCCTGTCCTCGAGGCCATCGTCGCGCGGACGATCCTGCAACAGCAGCTGCGCGGGTCGGCGGGCATCCGTCTCGTCGGGCTCAGCGCGACGCTGCCGAACTACGACGACGTCGCGGCCTTCTTACAAGTGGATCGGCAGCGGGGGCTGTTTAACTTCGACAGCAGCTACCGACCCATCCCACTGCAGCAGTCCTTTTGTGCGACGAAGCGGCTCCGCGGGACGAACCACGCCGTCGTGATGAATCGTATTGTCTACGACAAGGTCTTGCAGGCGGCACAGGAAAACGAGCAGGTGATGATCTTCGTGCACTCCCGTAGGGAGACCGAGCACACCGCGATGTCGCTTAAGCAGCACGCCTTGGAGGAGCGACATCAACACTTCTTTCGTCGCCCAGGAAGTGCCTCCGAGCTGGCGCTTAAGGAGGCCGCCGAGGCCACACACCACGTGCTGCGTCCGAGCATTCAACAGCTCCTTCCCTATGGCTTTGCCATCCACCATGCCGGTCTCAGCCGGGATGAGCGTCGCGTTACCGAGGAGCTCTTCGCGGAGCGACACATTAAGGTGTTGGTTTGCACCTCCACGCTCGCCTGGGGGGTGAACTTGCCCGCCAACCGCGTCATCATCAAGGGCACCCGCGTCTTCAACGCGGCCAAAGGCATGACAGAGCGGTTGAGTGCGTTGGATGTGTTGCAGATGTTTGGTCGAGCCGGGCGTGTGGGCTTTGGCGCGACGGTAGGCCACGCCACCATCCTCACCACCCCGGAGGATCTCTCGTATTACCTGGGTTTGATCAACCAGCAGCTGCCCATTGAGTCGCAGATGATGAAGCGTGTGGTGGATATGCTGAACGCGGAGATCGCGTTGGGCCATGTGGAGAACACCAAGGAGGGGGTGCGGTGGCTTCAGCGGAGTTACTTGTATGTCCGCATGCTCAAGGCCCCGGAGCTCTACAGCGTGCGACCAAACCCCAGCGATCCGTTGTTTATCCACCACCTAGAAAACATTATCCACACCGCGTGTGAGGAGCTTAAGGCGGCGCATATGGTGGACTATGATAAAACGACTCGAAAGGTCAGCCCTACCCCGTACGGTCGCATCGCCTCCCACTGCTACGTTACAACCGCATCTATGAATGCGTACCTGTCTAACCTGAGTAATGCCATGCAGGATACGGATCTGTTTCGAGTCTTTTCACTCTCAAGCGAGTTCTCGGGCTTGACGGTACGCGCGGAGGAGCAGGTGCAGCTTAAGGAACTGCTGGAAAGCGTCCCCATCGCGCTGCGAGAGTCGCGCTACAGCCCAGTCGCCAAGATCAACGCCCTGCTTCAATGTTATATCAGCCGAAAAACGCTCGACGGCCTGCCGCTCATGAGTGAGATGGTCTACGTACGGGATTCCGCGCAGCGTATTCTGCGGGCGTTGTATGAGATCTCGTTGGTGCGTGAGTTTGGTCGAACGGCACGGCAGTTTCTTCAGCTTTATGCGATGGTGCTACATCAGCAGTGGCATGTCGAGTCGCCGGCGCGGCAGGTTGCCTGCAGCGGCTCCGGCTCGAGGGGCATGGAGACGCTGCTGCCCATCCTGGAGCGCTTCCGGGTTCCCTGGGAGGAACTCCGGCGGTGGTCCCTCGAGGACCTCGCGGATAAGCTGGGGGATGAACGCCGCGCGGCGATGGTGCACACCTGCATCGCGCAGGTTCCTCACTTCACGATGGAGGTGGCGGTGCGACCACTCACGCGCAGCATGCTCTACGTCGACGTCGACCTTACCCCGGATTACGTGTACAACGAATCGTTGCACGGTCTCGGCGTGAGTGAGTTGCTGTTGACGATCGAGCACACGAATGGGCGGGTTCTGCATCACGAGATGCTTCGCGTGCCGTTGGCGTACCATCGCAATGGCGAGGCGTACGCGGTACCGCCGATCGTCGTGCCGATGGTGGAGCCTCGGCCGACGCATCTTTTCGTGCACGTCGTTTGCCCCCAGTGGCTGGCGTCGGAGGCGATGGTGGCGGTGTGTTTGCTGAACACGCAACTCCCCGCGATGGCGCCGGCCTTGCGGGAGATCGGAACGCAGCTGCCTTCTACCGACGATGCAGACGAGCTCGATGTTCGCAACGTGCTGGAGCCTTACAAGCTAGGGGAGGTGGGGGATCGGATTTTTCCCTTCACGACATTCTACGCGAGCCAGCGGGATATGGTCGCGGCGATCTTTGATCACGATCGGGATAACCTCTTTGCCGGCATACCTCCTGGTGGGGGCAAGACGGTGATCGCGGAGCTCTTCATCCTGAGCTTTCTCCTGGAGGGCGCCCTGCATCCGGAGGGCGCCGCGGAGGGGCAGGCCACCACGCACGACCCCCGTACCGCCAACACCGCACGATCCTCCCGGGTAACGCGCAAGGTGTTGTATATTACCAGCCATAAAGATACGGCGGTGCGGCATTTCATGGACTGGCGTTACAAGTTTGGCGAGCTCCTCCAGCAGCGGGTCGTGCTCCTGAATGACGACCCTTTCGACGAAACCGACGCCACCGCCGCGGCGACGGCCGCGATCGTGATCGCGACGGGCGCGAGTCTGATCCCACACGTGCGCGCCGCCGCGGGGTGGCTTTCCGGGGTCCACTCCCTCATCGCGGACCACCTCCACCTCCTCCGCTCGCCGGAGGGCCGCTTCACCGAGGAATGCCTCGCCCGCCTGCAGGCGAGCCCGTTTCTCGTTCACCACGGCACCCAACGCGCGCGGCTGCTCGCGCTTTCCTATCCCCTCATTAGCGGGGTGGAGCTCGG